TGTTATCCCAAGTACTTGAGAGGCTGAGGCAGGAGAATCACTTGAACCCGGGAGGTGGAGGTTGCAGTGAGCCAAGATTGCCCCACTGCACTCCAGTCCAGGTGACAAAGTGAGACTCCGGGCTGAGGTGGGAGAATCTCTTCAGGCAGGAGAATCCTGCCACTACACTCCAGGCTGGGTGACAGAGCATGTCTCGGTCTCAAAAACAAACAGGAAAAGAAACAGCTTAAACTAGGAGGCTTCAGACATAGAAATTTATTTCTCATGAATTTGGAAAGTGAAAAATCCAAGAGCAAGGTGCCAGCCAAATTGTTTGCTGGTGAGAGCCTTCTTCATGGTTTAGTCCAGCCATCTTCCTGCCGTGTCCTGACACGGGGGAAAGAGGAACAGAAAACGAACTCTTTAATATCTCTTCTTATAAAAGCGCAAGTCCTATTCATGAGTAGTCAACACCCATGACCAAATTCTCTCCAAGGCCCCATCTGCTGGAAAATCCTATTGGAGAATAAGAACTCTGAACATGGCTTTTGGCCAAGAAGAACATTCATACCAGGGAGCCTGCATCATATTTTTTATGTTTTTATTGTGCAATTTGATTTATAAAATGTTTTCTCTGATCTCAGTTTAAACATTTTCCCAGCACACATTCTATGTTTTATATTTTGTGCATAGTGAACTAGATAATTAAGGCCAACAATGCATATATATATAGAATTGCTGTATTGCCTGGCTGTTTCATAAATATAGTTGTGACATGGTAATTGCACCCTCTGGCACTGTTAGTCATTCTTTTTTTTTTTTTTTTTTTTTGAGACAGAGACTCGCTCTATTGCCCAGGCTGGAGTGCAGTGGCATGATATCGGCTCACTACAACCTCCACTTCCCGTGGTCAAATGATTCTCCTGCCTCAGCCTCCCAAGTAGCTGAGATTACAGGCACCCACCACCAAGACCAGCTAATTTTTTTGTATTTTTAGTAGAGTTGGGATTTCACCATGTTGGCCAGGCTACTCTCGAACTCCTGACTTCATGATCTGCCCGCCTCAGCCTCCCAAAGTGCTGGCATTATAGACCTGAGCCACCGTGCCCGACCGTTAGTCAATTCTTATTCCTTATAATGCTGTGTAGTTTTTTGACCTCATAAATCAGAAGGTAGTGATCTTAACATGTATTTCAGTTCTTATATTGTGTGCTCATTGTAAGTAGAAGTTTGGCATTTTTCTTAACAGGGAATTGTTTAGAATTTTGCAGTTTGTATACATCTACTTATTATTTGCTTGCTGGTTTTATGGATTACAATATTTTACTAATTAAATTTTATGACCGTACATAAGGCTTTTCAGTATGGGTATACAACATAACTGACACAGTCCACTAGTTAATGTCACAAAGTGCCACTGGACGCTGTGGCTCACGCATGCCATCCCAGGACTTTGGGAGGCTGAGGCAGGTGGATCACTTGAGGTCAAAAGTTCAAGGCCAGCCTGGGCAAATGT